TAGGGCTACAGAATGGTTCAGGGCTTAGGGGTTCAGGGATCAATGAGTTTAGCGGTTTACGGGCTTGGGCAAACCGCATTGCAAAGGTTGGAGGTCTTCTTTTGGATCGACTACTGCTGCGTACCGGAGATCCGGGCCACTCGGTGGAGGGGTTTAGCATGGGCATGGGCGCCTCACGGGCAGAAGGCGTTGGGCGAGGAGTTAAGGGGGCTTGGGGTTTAAGAACCCTAAACCCCAAACCCTGAACTGAGCCTAAACCCTCGAGGTCCTTGGGGTCTTGCTGGTCTTGGGGGTTGAGCCCTTCAGGACGAAGCATCCAACTTGGAACCCATAGAAGGCTGCTGGAACTGTATTCCCAAGAAAAGCTATACTTACTTGAAGGTTCACGGGTACGTATAAACAGGGTTGTAAGTACCCCAAAAAAGGCAACATCCATAGTTCCAAAAAATGTGACCCTTCTTATGCATAGCCATAAACCTAAGCCCTTAAAGCCCTTAAAGCTCTTAAACCCCTAAACACCCGTAAGCCCTTAAACCCTTCAGCCCTGAAACCCTCAAACCCTGAACCCTTATCCCCTGAACCCCTAAATCCTACACCCTAAGCCCTACACCCTAAGCCCTACACCCTAAACCCTAAACCCTAAACCCCCTGTTGATTTCTTTGATCAGGCTCGCCTAGAGGAGAAGGTCACGCCGTCGAAGGAGGACATCTGGGTCGAGCCAGAGGCTCCGAGCCAGGGACGACCGGGTCTTGGGGCTTAGGGGTGTAGAGTTTAGGGTTTAGGGTTTAGGGTTCAGGGAGATGATTCACGTCCATTATGAATGAATTGCAAGAAATTCATCAAAAGGGGCGTTAAACCGTTTGAGGTTTTAAGGGGTCTTACGGTTTAAAAGCTCTAGGGTTTAGTTTATTGTTTTCTAGCTCCACATCATTTTGGGCTGCGGTCCTTAGGGCTGCAGGGACACTGACTCTTAAGACCCAAACCCGAACCCGAACCCGAAAGCCCCGAAACCTGAACCGCCTTTCTCAGGGTTTCAGAAGGCCTCCCTAAACCTATCTGGGGTAGCGACAACCCTACATGGGTATTCCCGCAATAGTGGTACGTGTCCTTAATGTACCCCAAGTATTTTACAAAACACAACAGGGGTATGTATCCTTCATATACCCCAAGTGGGAACCTCCAAAAAGGCGTAGCCCTAAACCCTATACCCTAAACCCTAAACCCTAAACCCTAAACCCTAAACCCTAAACCCTAAACCCTAAACCCTAAACCCTAAACCCCCGAAACTCGCACACAAAACGCTCTGCTGCAGGGCCTCCTGGAAAGCCTCGCCGAGCCGCGAGCCGAATGCGGGGTTTGGGGTTTAGGGTTTAGGGACTAGGGTTTAGGGTTTAGGGTTCAGGGTTCAGGGTTTAGGGTTCAGGGTGTAGGGTTCAGGGTTTAGGGTTTAGTGTGAAACTCAACACAGGTCAAGGCACTTCCAGAGGGCACGCCTTTGTGCCAAAGCACTCAGAAAAGATGCCCCTGTTTGATGGGCTGAGCATCCACTCTAGGATGCGTAATGGAGAGTGCATTTTGGAGGGCGTTGCTTGTGCATTTGAGCGGGGGTATAGCATTCTATGATGTTGTGTATGGTTGGCAGTTTGGTGGCGAGGGTGAGGGTCGCTGCTACAAAAGCAATATCCCTAAAGCCGAGCCTTAAACTCCAATCCTACCCTGAAACCTCGAACCCTAACCCTAAACCCCACACCCTAAACCCTAAACCCTAAACCCTTCAGAAACCCTTAAGCCTGCACCCTGAACTACAGACCCACACTCCGAACCAAACACCCAAGAACTCCTAGACTCCAAGCCCTAAACCCTAAACCCTAAACCCCAATCTCTAAACCCTAAACCCTAAACCCTAAACCCTAAACCCTAAACCCTAAACCCCCGCCATGTCCCAGGCCCAGCCCACAGAATCGGAGGTTCGGGTCCCCGGTATGCTTTGTCCGGGTATTGACTTTGCGTGTAGGGCTTAGAGTTTAGGGCTTAGGAAGTTGGGAAGTTTAGGGTTTAGGGCTTAGGGTTTAGGGTTCAGGGTTTAGGGTTTAGGGTTTAGCGTTTAGGACTTAGGGTTTAGGGTTTAGGGTTTAGGGTGTTTAAGCAAATTCATTGAGGTGTTCAGACCGTATTCAGGACTAAGGGTTTTCAGGAAGGGAGTTGGGAGTCAAGGTTAAGGGCTTAGTGCAACTCTAAACACCGAAGCCCAAACCCCCTAACCTAGCAGCCCTAAACCCTACAACCCCCTGAACTCTATGTAAACCATATCATCATGGGTTCCCCTACCGCCCCCCTCTATACTAGCCCCCCCTCCCTTAGGTTCCCCCTTAAACAACCTTAATTAAGCTTAATTATCCCTAGGTAGCCTTAATCATGGGGGGAACCTAGGGGGGGGGGGTAGTATAGAGGGGGGTAGTATAGGGGAACCCATGATATCAACCCTAAGCCTGCCACCCTGAGGCTCTAACACGTTTACGCGAGAGACAAGTCTACTCATCATGACATTGATCGACACCGAAAGAAAATTTGCTTGTTAGGGTTTTAGGGTTTTAGGGTTTTAGGGTTTTAGGGTTTTAGGGTTTTAGGGTTTTAGGGTTTTAGGGTCGTAGGGTCTTAGGGTCTTAGGGTCTTAGGGTCTTAGGGTCTTAGAGTTTTAGGGGGGGCTTTGGGGATTGTTTGGGTTTTGTTCAGGATGTTAGGGCTATAGTACCTTTGGGGATCTGGAAAGGGCTCTAGTTTAAGGTTTTAGCTATCAGAGTTTTAGTTTAAGGGTTCTAGTCGCTATGGCTGTGCGCTGCAGTCCGGTGCAGGTGCTCCTTCGCCAACCTCATGGATCGCAGGGGGCTCTCGAGCGTGTGGCTGAGTGCTGGACTGGGGAAGGTTTAGCGGTCTGGCGGTTTGGCGGTTTAGGGTTTAGGGTTTAGGGTTTTGTGTAACCCTAAACCCTGAACCCTACATCCTAAGCTCACTCGCGAGTTTAAGCCTTCAGGATTCGACTCTTCCAGCGGTCTTCTGGGGTTCTTGTTCTAGTACCTTCCTGTACTTCAGGACCCCTTACAGGGTCCATGATTGAAGTCACCCGTACGAACACACGCACACACGCGCACACACACACACACACACACACACTTGACACCGAACAGTCTCGGAAACTGACAAGTCTTGAGATTCACTCCGTCAGGGAGATCAAAAACTCAAAATGTTCATTCAACAGGCTCAGACAAAAGAGCTAATGCGACCCAAGGCACATTTAATATTAAGGGTGTGTTCGGGCGAAAATTGCGGCACAGCACCATGAACAGCGTATACTATGAAGGGTCTTCACAAAGTGAACCAATGCACAGCTTGCAGTATTGATGATGTCACAAACAGCAACGCAAAAGAACAACCTAACATAAACAGAACTATACCTTTTGAGACTCAGGTTCCCCACACACACACTTTATAAACCCTAAACCCGTAAACCCCTAAACCCCTAAACCGTTACCCCTAAATCCTAAATCCTGAACCCTGAACCCTGAAGCCCAAGCCATGCTAGCAGTCCATGAGTTTTGGTTTGTTCTTGTGTTGAGGGGTTTAGCCTACTTAGTAGCTGAGTGAGTACACTTTACACTTTTTGGGATTCTATATAACCCTATGGAACTGAAGGTGTACACTTTTTGGGGGGCTTATGAACTCTGCAACTAAGCCTACATGTCCCCCCCCCCCCCCCCCCAAAACCCGAAGTCTTCGGCCCCAAACGGTTTGGTGCTGAGGGATGACTACCCGCCTCTGCCTGTCACGAAGACCCCTTTGAAACCCACCAGCCCTTGCGATGCCGGAAGATCCGCCCCTGCCTTCCGGCGTCCGATGTCTTGTTCCCTTTTTAAGGGGGGGATGGGGTGAATTCTAGGAGGAGGGGAGGAAGAAGATTCCCATGCAGCCCTAAACCCTAAACCCTAAACCCTAAACCCTAAACCCTAAACCCTAAACCCTAAACCCTAAACCCTAAACCCTAAACCCTAAACCCTAACCCCGAAACCCTAAACCCTAAACCCTAAACCCTAAACCCTAAACCCTAAACCCTAAACCCTAAACCCTAAACCCTAAACCCTAAACCCTAAACCCTAAACCCTAAACCCTAACCCTAAACCCTAAACCCTATGTGATGTCCTGTGCTTCCACTAAGATTTGGCGGCATGGTCTGAGGCTCGCACTGCGCACTCATCAGGATTTGGGTTTTTGTGGGTTCAGGGTTTAGGGTTTAGGGTTTAGGGTTCAGGGTTCAGGGTTTATGGTTTAGGGTTTAGGTTGAGAGTTTGTCGCTTGGGGTTTGGGTCACCCTTGTTGGGTTGCCGCAGGTTTCTTAGAATTTTAAGGCTTCAGGCAGGCTCTTTTTGGGCTTTCTAGGCTTTCGCTTTCGGCTGCAAGACCTTCAGGTTTTGCGGGAGTAGGGTTTAGGGTTCGGGGCCTTTGAGGGCTTCAGGGTTGAGAGGTTTACCAGCAACCCCCAACTGCCCCTTTATCCATACAGGGTGGGGCCCCCTTACTATACTAACTGTAGTTAAGGGACTTATAACCTAACTTAGGGTCCTTATAACCCAATTTAGGGCCCTTATAACTCTACTTATAACTAGGGGGCCCCACCCTGTAGGGTATACAAGTCCCCTTTATTAAAGGATACTTGGGGCAGGTACTGTTGGGGGTTGAGGATGTCGTGCCACCCTAATCCCGAACCGCAAACCCTAAACCCTAAACCCTAAACCCTAAACCCTAAACCCTAAACCCTAAACCCTAAACCCTAAACCCTAAACCCTAAACCCTAAACCCTAAACCTGAACCTGCAGGCGACCGGCAACGCCTTGGAAGGCGAAGGGGAAGAGGAACCTGAAGAGCGCGGTGTCCCGGTGCCCTGTAGCCCGAAACATCCCCAGCTTAGGTTAGGGTTTAGGGTTTAACTTAGGGTTTAGGGTTTAGGGTTTAGGGTTTAGGGTTTAGAGGTTTACCTGCGCACCCCCAACTAACATAGGCGCCTTCATGATTAGAACAGGGTTTTGGGGAGTGATTCTCGTATGATTCTAAGAGGACAATCAGGAAATGCTATGAGTACTTATTCCGACCCTGCAATAAAGGGGGTTTATATGCCCTACTATTATGGTTGAAGTGTGGTTTGAAAGAAATTACATGGAGCCCAACCATGCACCACCACAAATCCCGTTTATGCTTCCCCATGTGCCTTTAATGGAAGCTGTCCTAGGCTTTGTAAGAAGCCCCTGTTTGTGCTTGCACCTAGGGGTTTTAAACGTTAAAAAAAAACCTAAACCCTAAATAGGTTTTGTAACGTTATAAAACCTAAAAGGCTTTTTTAACGTTAAACATCTCCATTTGGGAAGCCGCTGTTGTGCTGCAGGCGACCGGCCGAAAAAAGGCGACATCAAGTAACCCACAAGCCTTGCCGATCCACTATAGATTCTATATCCCCCCTTGGGAATTGGTTTATTTTTGTTCATATAAAACCCAAGAGGATATTAAACATACTATTTTATTAAGGGTTCTAAGGGGAGTAGGATTGAAATCCACCAAATTAATTAAGCTTTGGGGTCAGAGGGTTGTGTTCAGGGCTGGCGGGCTGATGGGTGGAGCTTCTGCCTACACCTAGAGAAAAAACATAAACAAATATGTATCTCTGCAACGCAGCGTGTGAGCCTCCACCTGTACTGTACATCTGTGTTGTCGGCATTTTTCGCGAAGCAGCAGCAACCCCCATAATCCCTGTAAAGCTTGTAACCTATACAGTACCTGAAGACCACGAAGCCTACCTTTCTGGAGTGTTCAAAGATGCAAGGTCGCAGTCTTAGGCAGTTTTCACCGGAGTCGCAACCAACTCCCTAGTCAACGAGGGTGTTGAGTTCTTCAAGGCGTCAATCAGGGTTTAGGGTTTAGGGTTTAGGGTTTAGGGTTTAGGGTTTAGGGTTTAGGGTTTAGGGTGCTGAATGGTAAATGCTAGGGCTCCCCTCCCCCCATCCCCTGCTCCGAACCCCGAAATGCCCAGGGGTTATAGGGTTTAGGGTTTAGGATTTAGGGTTTAGGGTTTAGGATTAAGGGTTTAGGGTTTAGGGTTTTGAGGGTTTTTGAGGGTTTTGGGCTCGTTAAGTGTAACATGCTCCGAGGGTGGATCAACCATTCCTGGACATCGTGGCTGCCGGAAGGACGGAGGAGGCTGATCTCTCAGGCTGGGTGCCGGTTTGGGGCGGGAAGGGGGGGGGGGGGGTTAGGGTTTAGGGTTTAGGGCTTAGGGCTTAGGGCTTAGGGCTTAGGGCTTAGGGTTTAGTGTTTAGGGCTTAAGGTTTAGGGTTTAAGGTTTAGGGTTTAGGGTCAGGGAGTTGCTGGAGATATCTGGGTTTGGTGGTGCGGGAGATGCAGGCTTCAAAGTTCAACTTCTTGAACGGCTCAGCTCTGCCCCTTCTTTTCCTGAACCCTAAACCCTAAACCCTCATTTGCCCCCCCCCCCCCCCCCTGAAACTGGACGCGCACGCCGAACAGACCCAGAGGGCCCGCAGAATTTTCAGCAATCTGCACATGGGGGGGGGGGGGGGGTTAGGGTTTAGGGTTTAGGGTTTAGGGTTTAGGGTTTAGGGTTTAGGGTTCAGGGTTCAGGGTTTAGGGTTTAGGTTTCCGAACAATTGGGGTACCCTTTCTGGGTTCCTTTAACAGGATTCTAGACTAGTTTGGGGGGATATAAGGGGTACCCCTATTTTCGGAAATCCCCGCACACATCAGGATGGCATTGGGTACCTATGTGGATTCGCCACTCCTCCGTCTCCTTTCAAACACCCCTGAACCCTAAACCCTAAACCCTTCTAAACATTAAACCCTAAACCCTAAGCCCTAAACCCTAGCCCTAAACCCTAAACCCTAAACCCTGTCAGGCTACGACGCGATGTTCCCGGCCCTCTTTGCCGCGGGGGACCCCAACACATCTGCGGTTTCCCTAAGTTAGGCGCACTCAAATCCCAAGTCCTCTAAAGCCTCCCTAGAGGAATCTTACGCAGTAGGTTTCAGGGGTTAGGGTGTAGGGTGCCCAAACAAAAGGAATATTCAGTAGGTTTCAGGGTTTAGGTTTCAGGGTGCCCAAACAAAAGGAAAGGAATTTTAACTAGGTTTCAGGGTTTAAGGTTTGGGGTGCCCAAGCACTCTACAGCCCAAAGCCTATGGAGTCACACACAAGGGAGTGCTCCCGCTATCTTCCGTAAGATACCCGTGCTGTAGGCCTCTGTTGAGGTGTGCTTAGGCATCAAAAATGTTGCTAGCAGCTACAGCCCAGGCCAGAAGCCCTGTGACGGACAAGGTAGCTGCGCCTCAGACAAACAACCCTAAAGCCGAAAGCCCTGGTCAAGTTCTAAACCCTAAGCCCTAAACCCTATACCCTAAACCCTAAGCCCTAAGCCCTAAACCGTAACCCTAAACCTCTTCGCAGCCTGAGGCTGCAGATGGCATGGTGCTTTGCACGTCGCACGCCTTCGCCGAAGATGCTTGGTGCCGCCTGGGCGCCTAAGAACCCCTTGCTTGGAGGTTCATGGTCACGTGTAAGTCGGGATATATATAAGAGCCAGCAAGCGGAGGACGGAAATGCTGTAGTGCTCCCAAAACACCCAAACCTCCAACTCCAAACCCTAAACCCTAAAACCTCAACCCTAAACCCTCAACCCTAAACCCTTGAAGAACCAAACAAAAAAAGGGTAAAGGGTACCACTGGGCTACCAAGATGCCTAGTCCGAGGATCTTAAACTGCACCAAGACCCTAAAACCCTGGGACCACCTCCAGTGCCCCTCCAAGGTCTCTACCTCTCCTTGGGCTACGCGTTTCTTCCGACCGGCCGCCTGATGTACGAGGCTGGCCCGCCCTACTTGGAGTTTCGTATTAGTATAAGTCAAAGGGTTGCGGTTTTAGGGCTTGGGGCTGCTTAGAAGTAAGGCCATAAGTGATTGTACAAGTAAAGTTATAACTTATAGCCATAGCTACCGTACTTAGAACCAGGGATCCGGAATTTGGGGTCGAGCCATGAACCCTGAAACCTAAACCTGCAACCCGAAAAAAAAACTCATAATCCCCAAAAATGAAAAACCCTACCAAGCTCCTGGCGCAGATATCCTGATCTGCGGAGCCCGCCGAAAGCATCGATTCCTTATCAAAACCTTTCAAAAAACAACCCCCGAGGCCCACCAGAGGCCCAGAAGAGACCGAGAAGAGGCCCCCCGCAAAGGTTTATAACCACAACCCGGGCCCCCCAAAACTTTTGTTCTGACCCAGCGCCGGAACAAATCCTGGGGGGGGGGGGGGGGGGGGGGGGGGGGGGGGGGGGGGTGGTGGTTGCAGCGAGCCCAACATTAGAGCATACTAAACCCTAAGGCCCTAAGACCCTAAACCCTACTAGCCCCAAACATGGCCCAACCCCCCATGCGATCCAGCGCAGGTCGACCGAAACCTCGTTCACATCAGCAGGCTCTCGGTCCAGGTTGAAGATGGCTGCTTAAGGCTTAAGGAAGCCCTATAACCTGAAATTCGGGAGATTTTCCCTAATTAAACCCCAAACCACTTACAAGAAGACCAGCCAGAGTAACCCCACAGATCCTGCTAAACAACAGTCTGAGTTCTAAGTTCTCCGAACCCGACACCGCTCCCTACACCCCAAACCCTAAACCCTCCAGCTCATGGCTTGTCCCTGGACTACAGCGCGCGACCACAAACCCTGCCTTAACTTAGAGTGTGACAAGGCGCTTGAGAAGGTGGTGAGGGTTCAGTGCGCGCAATCATTTTGGCCTCAGGTCGCGAAGAGACCTAAGTCCTTGTAGTCTCAGCGACAGGCCCTATCGTGCTTCGGACGATGTAGACCAAGCTAGGAGCTTAAGTGTAAAGCTTAATTAGCAAATGTGACTCTGTTCACGCTCTGAGCTATCGGACCTCCTCGGCTCGGGATCATGGGCAATGTCAATTTCCTCAGTTCTTGTTCAGACCGCCGTCGTTGGTCAGCGTCGAATTCGCTATCGTCAGTGTCGAGTTCGTGTAAGCGTGCCCAGCTGAACGCGGACGTTATTGATTCACATGATATTTCCGGGTTGGGCAATGTACAAATTACCTCCGTCCTGAAGATATCAACACGCCTTGAGGCGTTCAGAAGCGACGGTGCTGACGGGCATCAGCTGTCTTGGACAGAAAGGACAGTATTGGGCGCTTGGCATGACGAGCTGTACTTTGTGTATCTGTCCTGCGGAAAACTTCGGGCATGCCGCTTGAGTTGGACACAGGATGGTCTTGAAAAACAAGGTCTTGTTACTAGTGGAAGCTTCGAAAGCCTCCAGACGTATCTGGCCAAGCATGGCGGACATTGCGGTGGCAACTTCTACGAATGTGTAGCTGAAGTGAAGATGGAGCAGGTTGTTAAAGCCTTGAAAGCAATGGCAGCAATGGCGGGTTGCCAGACTTACGATGTTGCGTCCTTCAACTGTCAGCACTTCTGCGAGCGCCTGCTGAGAAGTCTACCCGTTGTTGAAAACGAGCAATTGGCTGTGCACCCTTTGCCGGGTCAGGAAAGACATCCAGAAGATGCGAGTGAAGATCAGCCAGGAACAGCTGCCGAGAATGCAACAGCAGAGGCTGCCAATTCTCCAATGCCTGCACGATTGTCTGTGCCCCCTCAGGCAGGTCAGGAAAGACATCCAGAAGATGCGAGTGAAGATCAGCCAGGAACAGCTGCCCAGAATGCAACAGCAGAGGCTGCCAATTCTCCTATAGGCATGGAGGAGTCTTGGAAGACGGTATCTTCGCACAACATCCAAGACCCTCAGGAAGATGGAGCGGCAGAAGAACCAGCCTCTGAGCAAGCTCATCCCAATGCTCAGGTAACAAACCCACAAGACGAGGATGACTATCACTTTGTTGAGAGTGGAGGACAGAGTTCCCAGCCCGGGAGGAAGTAAAAATCAGAAAGTGCTGCTTTTAAGTGTAGTTCGTAGATCTCTCGACTGACGACACCTGCCTGGACCCTCTCGTGGGTTTGGGATGCCTGCAAAACTCAGCGCTTCCTTTTGTCTCACTTGGGGCGGATGATCCACGAGCCGGTTTTCGAGGTTTCCGCTTTGATGGATGGATTTGCATGGTTTTCGAAAGGCTGCTCAATAAATTCTAAGCCCCAAATTCAATCCCTTGATCCTATAAACCTCAAACCTCAACCTGGACGGTTAGGTCTTGGGGTCTTGGGGGCCCAACGCATCCAAAGCTTTGACAGCTTCTGTGCACCCCGACGAACAGAAACCCCGATGCCACTGCGTGTCTAAACTTATGGGTTATTCCTAGTGGTGCCTAAAGAGGAGTGGAGGGTTGGATCACACTGGTAGTTCCTGCGTGCTCCGCAATACATCATCCCCCTACTTGACCATCTAGCTTCCCAGCATTGCTTCACCCAAAAACCCAACCGAAAACACCAAACTTCGTAGGGTCTTTTTTCAGTGTTTTGATGCAGACTGTTGCCGGTTCGGAGCTGAAAGTTTTGGGATTCTGAGACAGTGCTGCATTTGTTTTGATGGTTGTAGGGCCTTCAACCCCCCAGCCTAAGCGCTGCCCGTACCCACCCCACCCCGCCCTCACAGAACGAGAAGTAAAATGGCAAACGGGTAATTCTCTAAATTAGGGTCCCTTTTTCGGGTCCTACCCCTACATCTATTTGAGACCGTGACTCAGACGGCAGGAGCCTTCGCCAGGGCAAGGGGCGACGGCCCGCCTCAGTCGAGTCCAAGAACACCGGGCAGGTACTGCCCTAAACCCCAGACCCTTCAAATTGTCTACACTACTTGGGAGGTTGCCGAAAGTGGGAGGGTGACTTAGAAATAGGATTACAAGGTTATAATAAAAATTACCTCGAACCCTACTGATAAGTACCCATGAACCTCCAAGTACTGCAATAGGGGTTACAGTATTTGGGAGTAAAGTAGGTGTACTTTCTATTTGAGGAAACGCCCAGTTCGTTTCCGGCTTCTTCTGGCATACAAACGATACCGACAAAATGGTCAAAAACCTGCAAGTCATGCCTGCGTTTGGGCTAGCTAAGGCTCATGGGGGTCCTGAACCCTAAACTTTGTCCTAGTGGGGGTAGCATGTTAGATTGAAATGGGTACTTAAGCTCAACATGGAATAACAACTAGTGTTTACAATTTTGTCCCGACCATGAACTAGTAACTCGCACACCCAACCTGCAATTCCTAAACCCCTTGGCTGAGGTTGATGCGGAACAGATGCTGGATGATTCGAAAGAGAAGGTAGACATCATTGGCCCTACATAAGTCCATATGGTAGCCCATAGAAACTGCTTTTTTTCTCCGCCCCCAGACCCCAACCCTAAACAAACAGACTTCAGGGTTTAGGGTTTGGGTTTAGGGTTTAAGGTTTAGTGTTTAGGGTTTAGGGTTTAGGGTTTAAGGTGACTTTGGGGGTTCCTCCCGCGCAGCGGAAGACACCGAGAATGCTCTTGCAGGACACGCTTCTTCCTGGGCAGCTCAAGTCAGTTTCTCAGCTCCCCTAATCCCTACAAACCCTGTAAAGATTAACATGCCTATGAACCCTTTAAACCCTATACACCCCATACAGCCTACAAAACCTATGAATCCTGTATATAAACCATGTAAACCCTCTAAACCCCTGTAAACCCTATAAACCCTCTAAACCCTCTAAACCCTAGTGTTAAGGGGGTTTGGGATTTAGGCTCTCGAGTTGAGTGTACCCTCAACGAATGCAATCTCGTATGAGCCATATTTCTCTATATGGTTTAGGGTTTATGCTTGAGTGGCTCAGGGTTGGGTTACAGTGCGTGCTGACAGAAACCTCGGAGTGCCAGGACTTGCAGGAGGTTTTTGGGTTTTAGGTGTTGAAGGTCTAGCGTTTAGGGCTTAAGGTTTAGCTTTCCTCTCTCTCTCTTTTTTTTTTTTTGGGGGGGGGGGGGAGAGGATTCAGGGTTTCAAGTTTGGGGTTTGGGGTCCCCAACTCAAGACCCAAACCCCAAATCCCAAAGCCCTAAAGCACTGGAAAATCCTCAAACATTCTAAAAACCTACGACCCTTAATGCCCAAAACTCGAAAACCTGAACAATCCTCGTTGAAGCCCCAAACCCAAAAACCTCAAACCCTAAACCCTAGAGAATCCTTTATCAAACCTCAAGCCCGAAACTCTGTACTCTGTGCGCTTGGGACTGCTGTGGGCTGGATGAGGATCGAAGATGCGCAGCCGCCCCCTACGCAGACTGCTGTGCCAGGCCTGGTACAGTAGTCGCGGGTTCAGGGTTTAGGGTTGAGAGTTGAGAGGGTGAGGTTGGTTCCTGCGAAGGCGCTTTGGAGAATGGCCCAGCGCCCACAGCCGCAGCTGCACCGGACTTGGGACTGAAGGGAGTGATCTCATGTCTGGGTTGAGGGTTGAGGGTTCAGGGTTTAGGGTTTAGGGTTTAGGGCTTGCATGGGGTTCAGGCCGAAAGTCAGAGCCTACATAAAGTCGTGGGATGCTTCTGGACTAGAGAGAGGGTTTAGGGCTTCTCGCTTACAGGGTTTGAAAGTTTTGGGGTTTCAGGGCCTGCGCATTTGGGGGTTCAGGGCTTCAGGGTTTTGTTTGTGACAGAACCCGAAACCCTAAACCGCAGCTGTTCAGGCCTTTTGACTTTAGGACTTCCGGCCTTCTGGACAACGAGGGGCCTTTGGCTCTGGGGGCGTGAGCGATCAGGATGTTGGGGCATTTTTAGGGTTTTGACCAAGGGGTTTAGGGTTCAGGGTTTAGGGTGGTTCAACCCTGGACCCTAGATCCTAGAATCCCAAACGTCTCGAGATTCTATATCCCAAAGCCCAAGCATACACACCCACCCTAAACCCGAATCGCGGATGACGACGGCCCGGGTACCAAGGACCTCGCCGTCATGGCCGTTTCCGGGCCCAGGCTGGGTTGTAAGCACCGCGACAGCCGGTGTACTTGGGGTTTTGGGTTTACTTAGGCTTCTTAGAGTTCAAGGTTGGGGGGCTTTGGGGTTTCGGGTTGACTCAATAGTGTCTATAAGTACCATCTCTGCTCGACCCTCCCCCAGCACACTTTACTGCTCTACCCGGACGGTCACAGGTTCCTGCAACTACCTTGTCACTGCAAGACCCAATACTGACCCCGGCTCCCCTCCACCCGAAAACCCTAAACCTCAACCCCAAAGACTGCATCAAGAGCGTTGGGGGCTTTTGTGCTTTTAGGTTTGTTTTTGTTTATTTGAGTTTTTTGTTTAAGGGTGGTTAAGGGGATTTGGGTTTTTTGGTTGTTTTCGGGTGATTTTAGGGTGCTTATGGTTTGGGATTTGGGGGATTTCAGGGTTTTAGTGTTGTTGAGGGTTTTGCTTTTCGGGTTTTTCAGGGTTTGCTTAGGGTTGTTTTAAGAGGCGTGATGAGATAAAACATGGTGGTTTCATGTAACATACGTATATATATATATATAGGTATATATATATATGCTATACATATATATATATACATATGCAGGGTTTAGGGTTTCGGGTTTTGGGTTTAGGGGATTAGAGGTTTAGGGGCTTCGGGTTTAGGGTTTAGGGGTTATTTGAGCTTTTAGGGCTGTAGGGTTTTGGGGTTGTAGGGTTTTGGAGTCTTTTGGGGTTTAGGGTTTCAGGGTTTTAGTTTTTTTTTTGTTGTTGTTTTTTTGTGTTTTTTTTTTAGGGCTGTAGGGTTGTTAAGGGCTTTGCAGGGTTTGGGGTTTCAGGGCTTTAGGGCTTCAGTTTGTTTAGTGCTTGTTTTAGGGTTTAGGTTTTGTTTAGGGGCTTCTAGGGGTTTTAGGGTTGTAGTGCTTTTGTTTTTTCAAGGTTTGAAGCTTTTTGCTTACGATTGCTTATAGCTTTTTCAGGGTTTTGTTCGGCAAAAGGTTTCGGGTTTTAGGGTTTCAGGGTTTAGAGTCTAGGCCTACACGCGAGCCTGTCAAGAGTGGTTGGCGGCTCACGCTCGAAGGTTGGTCCCTGTAGGGTAAGGGAGGGCTTGATGATGGCGGCACCTTTCCCTCTGCGACCCAGTTGAGACGCTAAGCAGACCATGAACATCAACCCTAAACCCTAAACCCTCAACCCTAAACCCTAAACCCTAAACCGCCCTCAACCCAAAAATCCAACGCTATGTGGGAGCTTCCAATGCAACCAACCTTTATATATAGGCCTCATGCCCACTTTAGAGATTGGGGTTCGGGTTTTTTTTTCATAGCTTTGGTCCTGTGCCCTCTCAATAAGATAGGGGGGGTAGGATAAATTTCTAGTAGTATTTCCTTATGGCCCCTTGATCATTACTCTGTAGTATTGCAATAAGCCCGCAAACCCTATATTACGTATATGAGTATGCCCCATACCCTGAGGGCTTTTTTAACCTCCGTTAGAAATCCGTTGACAGATCTCCCCTGAGCCTCAACCCTCTTGTTCATTTTCACTGTTAAGTTTAGGGTTTGCGGATCATGGTTTAGGGCTTAGGGTTTCTCAAGTTATTTTGCACTGTTATCTTCACAGTGGGGCGGGTAATTCTCGAGATTCGCAGGGGCGCGAACGCACTGCCGTTACCCACGCAGACGACATCCAAAGGCGCCCGGGATTCTTCCAACAATTTCGCTGGCCTTTGTCGCTTAGGGTTATCGGGTTATCGGGTTTTAGGGTTAGGTTTGTAATCACTTCCCCCTTTTACTAAATAAAGACCACCGTAATAATAAAAACGCTTTCCGGAAAATCCTGCCGAAATCGACCCCGCCTTTTAAACCCTATTCCTAATTAGGGGGGGGGGGGGGTTCAGGCCTCCAAGAAACCCCTCAACACCAATAAAACCCTCAGAGGGTTTAGGGTTGGGGGTCTAGGTTAAGGGTTTAGGGCTTAGGGTTAAGGGTTTAGGGTTTAGAGTCCAGTCTTTTTGCAGCACGATGCTGACGG